AATGTGTAGACAGATAAAGGGAAACAGAAAAGAGATTTTATCAGCACTACTACCTTTAAACCAGGGATAGTTATTTCTCTGTAATCCAGAAGTGGCAAGAGAAGAGAATAGTTACGATAGACAGAAGACTGAGCTGTAAGAGTGGAACTAAGACTTTCACTCAAGCAATGCAGGTGCTGCCAGTAAGCATCAGGGAGGATGTTGGAGCATAAATCCTCCAATTGTTCACTGCTCAACTGCTAATCACTTGTTGATCCCTCCCATTGGATAAATTCGAGCTGAAACCAAAGGTTTAGTGATCCAAGTAAGTAACTGCGCTGGGTACAGAGTTAAAAAATAGATCTGAATGGACAAACAAAAAACATGCATCATAAGATAGTGTTGCAGGTGATTAATCTGCTGACTTAGGTGATTTTACAGTGTTAAAACAATGTGGTAAATCAATAACTGAATTTTCACATTTGCAAAGGCACAGCATAAATTATTTTTCTGTGATTAATACTCTTCAAAGTTTCTTCCCATTTAGGAAACCGTAGTATTATGCACACAAATCCACATGTGTACCTGCACATGGGAATGTGAGTGTGAGTATATGAGTTATTATAGACTAAGAAGATAATTACATTATCTTAAAAGTATATAAATCACAATGGCATAAAATCCATAAGCAGTTTTTACTCAGATTTTTTTAATGAAATGGTTGGGTTTAGGAAATATACCAATAAATTATGGATCCCTAGTCATTGAAAGTTCAAGTCTAGTGAAGACTTCTAGATACACTCACAGAAGTTCCTTTTATAGTTAGGAAACTAAGAGACTCAAGTACACAGAACAGGGAAAATAATTAAAATTAGATGTCATAAGATAAATTCCAAAGTACGGGGTTGTTATTGTTATTATTCCAAAGAATAATATTGTCTTAGCAGTGGGTTGTTCAAATGATTAAATGCAACTGCAATGATGCATCCACAAAACATGAGTTTATCTCAAATTTTACTGACATTCACTATTAAAATTTAAAGTGTGATCATGGCTCTGATTCCACTGCAAGAAAATAGTTTCTCTGTATGTCTGTTTTTAGAAAAAGGTATGAAATACTATAAAACAATAGGTACTGAAATCAACACAGGTAGGGGATTTTAAGTAGATGAAAGGCCTTAGTTTGCTATGCTAGTATGACATTATTTGGACTGAGTCTAGTTATTACCCAGTGATACAAAGAGAAGTCTTCTTGTCAGTTGGAAGGATTCAATATAAATAGAGCATACTCTTCAGAAGGAGAGGTTGTATTTCTTTTCTTAGATCTCTCTGTTTCTTTTAAAAAGGAATCGTAGACTTCAGGATGCAGAAGGAAGCTAAATCAAATAATTTAAAAATCGTCCCATGTAAGTGTCTAGAAATTCTGGAGGAACCACAAGAAAAATAAGTTTTTTAAAAGCAACTATTATAAAAGAGAGAAAATGTAATCAAATACAAGCAAAAAATAAAGGAGGAAATAAAAATCAGAGAAGCACAGAGTTTTGCTGGTGTAGTTGCTGATGCTAAAAGGTTATGGGTTCTTACAGATTGCAGTGGGGATATAGCAACAGCACATGAGTGTATGTCCAGGAGAACAAGAAGCTGGAACTAATGTCTCTACATAAAGCAGAACTGTGGGATGGATGTGGGAAGATCAGAAAAATCATTCACCTCCAGTAAACAAAAGTTTTTTTTTTCTTCTTCCTGAGCTCTCAAAGGTTCAAAACAAAACAAAAACAAAACAAAAATCTGCTCTTAGAACTGAAATTCCTAGCTCAATATTTTCACTACTAGTATGTAACAAACTCTGAGCCAAATGAAAAGCATAAAATGTGTCCACAAGTTATGTATATCCCCCAGATGTCTGGCAAAACACACACGATGGAAAACATTCACCAGAGAAATATCAGCCAAAAGAGAGTGAACCAATTGTATTGGATAACAAATGTGGATTGAGGGAGACTTTAGGGGAAAAATAGGGTAGAAAAAATGTGTCTGGAAGAATTAATCAGAGAGATAACAATGTCCAACTCATATAGATTTAACAAACTAGTATAAAATATATTAAAATTTTTAGTGTTGTTATAATCAAATGTTAAATATAATATCATTGTAGGAAACTATAACATGTTTCAATTGATAAAAGAGGAAACATAGTACATGTACAATAGTAATGATATAACTACACAGATTTCAAGACATATATCCCATTACACAGGGAATGCAAAGCTTTATATAAACTAATACAAATCTCTATTGCAATTTATAAATTACAAATTATCAGTCCATACAGACTTTATTAACTGTTTTTACTTAATTTAGACATGGATATCAAAAAAGTAGCTCAAACATTTCATATGAAATTTAAAACTAAATCTAATAATTTCATTTATTTTGAAGAAAATTAGAACAAATTTCAAAAAAGAAAAATACAAAAGTAAAGGTTTCACTAAATACACACGTTAGCAGTTGCTGGACTAATAAATGTCTCAAGCTAGTGGTCACTACTTTGACCACCTCTTGTAACTGTAAAGATGAAAGGTAGCTTGTATTAATCTCATGATGCCTCAATACATGTAGTAGTAAAATATTTGTACACGTTTTTCTTTTCCTGATGTATGCATTTTTGGCAGACTCTTCATATAGACATGTGTATATATAAAGTTTAAAAGACAAGGAATTGAGCATCTAAATTAAGAATTTAAGTGAAAAACAGTATTATATATTAATTAAAATTTAAACAAAAAAAATATATAGCATAATATTAAAGGAAAAATTAAAAAGAGATTTATATGAGTGCCCTATCCCTTTTCTGCAAAACCTACCACCTTATGGTACATAAACTGTTATGGAACCTAGGTAAGAAATAAAAGTTCCCTAAAACATTGGTGATATTATATAATCTATATGTCATAACTGGGTTATGGCCAGTGAGAAATAAACTTATCAACAAATCATTGATTGCATATGTGCTCAAGTAGAATTATTCCAGAAATAAACACATTTATAAAGACTATAAATTCAGAGGCTTTACAATTATCTTAATAGATGATTAAACATCTGTTTATGGTGAAACCTTTTAGCAAAGTAAGAACTAATCTTCTTACTTTGATAAAAGGAATTTCTCAGAAACCTAAAGCAAACAACTTTTGAAAGATAAAATGTGGAGCATCATTTTAAAGGAACGAAGGACAAAGAGCACGTCATGTCTCCCTCGCAGCCTCCATTCAGCCCTGCACTGTCGGTTGTATCCTTAATGAAACAATCAAAAGCTATAGTATTCCACAGTTACAAAGAAAACTATTTGTTTACAATAAGAAATCATCTTCATGGAACACTAACAGAAATAAAAATCCTAAATATCAACCTTAGAACACATAAAAAGTTAAATAGAAGGTTCATGATAAGGCCAAAATATGCATACCATAGCATTCTTATTTGCAATTCAAATAGGCATAAACAGTTATTTTCAAATAACTAGAAAAACATAAAACAGACATTAATACTACTTATAAAAAATTGTCATGGAGAAAAGTATAAAAATGTAATTAAAGACATAAAGCAACTGAAAGAATTTGAAAGGCATAAATATTCACCTACTGAGTTAATATCCTCAGCTTTGTTAATCAAGTGATACTAACAGACTCCTAAAACATTGTTTAAGATACAGAAACATTATCATTAAGGTTCATATGGAAATACTGATCATAAATGTGCTCCAAACTGATCAACATTTAAATGATGACCATAGTGATAATAACAATGATAGACACCGTTTCTTATATCCTAAAGCTACATTAAATAAAATGGTATGGCACTAATTAGAATGAAACTCAATGACATGGCTGGAAAATAAATAATATATTAATATTAACCCACTTGTCATTAATAAATGTTCCACATTAATGCACGATTTTAATAATAGGCAGATCAGAGAGAGAGAGAGAGAAATATCTTGAATCTTTGTAATTTGGGATAATTTTTACTATAAACTTGAAACTATAAAACAAAGTGTTAATTTGAAAACAAATTAACCATCTTAAGGAAAACCACAGATTTAGCATATTGAGAAGGTATGAATTTAAGTTGTAACACTTAAAGAAGGATCAATGTATTTATTATAATTTTCATCAGCCATCGGAAGTGATAGGAGAGGCCTCCTGGTATATTTGCTACTTAGCCCTGGCTTCAGTTGCCATCCTCTGCCTGAACCCTGCAGTCTGACCCAGCTGCCCTCCAACCTCCACCAGAAATGCTCACCCTGCTCCAGACTTCCCAAACCCCTTCAACTGTGGGTCCACTCATGCTACCACCAGAGGCCTTCGACACCACATCAGGGCTGGAATCTCTGTTGACTGTGGTTTTCATCTTATTTGCAAACTTTCTGAGTATCAAGCACAAATAGAAGAATATAAAGACACAGAGCAACTAGTAGAGTTTCAAAGAGAGGTGAGAGATCTAATAATGTAGAAATAAAGATCCAAATTATGAAAATAGGAATAGGTGTAAGAATCTTTGTCCTTTTAATTTCTGTAGTACTTAGAGTTTTTAAACTATTAATATATAATTTGTCATATAAGAAAGATTAAATTTTCTTGCACATGTTGTTTTTCTTAAATAAGAAACATTCAGTACTCTCCAGAAATACTTCTATCTATCTTTTGAAGATTATGAATTGCCTAAGTTTCTTAAAGATTGTGTGTAGGCTCTCATGTTTAACCCAGTTGTAGCATTGACTGCAAGACTTGGAATTGCCTGGCTATAACTCTCAAATTCTATGGCATTGGAATTTGTCTTAGTCATCTCTACAGAATGAATAATTAACATGGAGTCTGCACAAAATATTGAATAAATGTTTACCAAAAAAGAACTTTGGCTATTAGAAAGCCTGAGTTAGGTGAAACTCTTTGCCGGTGACATTAGAAAAATTCATTTTAATGTGATTAGAAGAATACAACAATATAAAATTCTTTTTTTTTCAGAAATAAGAATTGTCAGCATGAAAATTCAGACAGTAACAAAATTTCAAACAGTTACAAATGTCATTGGATATGTAAAAGGCTTGACATCTCCAGGTAAGTAGCGTTACATATTTATAATGAATACTTTGTATCAGACTTCACCAACAAATAGTCTGCATAATTTGATATAAGTTAAATATCTTACTTTAAATATAACAAGAAGTTTATTCATTGAGTTAATTTTCTGTATATTAAGAATTTATACTTTATTCTCTTATTGTTATCTCTTCCAAAGCAAACTTTAGAAGGGAATGTGTTTTAGAGGATAATAAGACAGGAAGAATTTAGGTTTATTAAACTGAAATGTGCTGCAAAAAGCCATATTTATTTTTTTTTCTTTTACTTATTGTAACACCTTTAGAATTTTCATTAAAATGCAATGGGCTGGGGATGTGGCTCAGTGGTAGATATTTTGTCTTGTACAAGGCACTAGGTTCAATCCCTAGCACCACAAGAAAGAAGAAACAACAAAAAGAACTTGTCTCCTATTCATTGAACAGGGAACTAATAGGACTAATATGTGAAATATATAAAGAAGTCAAAAAGACACCCAAATAAGAGACTCAATAAATTGAAAGGGAAGCAATCCTTCCCAAGTCATTCCTGGAAGCAAATATTACTCTAGTACCAAAACCTGGGAAAGACCCAACCGAAAAAGAGAACTACAGACCAATCTCCCTAATGAACACAGATGCAAAAATCATCAATAAAATATTGGCAAATAGGATCCAGCAAATCATCAAGAAGATCATACACCAAGACCAAGTGGGATTCATCCCAGGCATGCAGGGATGGTTCAACATACGTAAATCAATAAATGTAATCCACCATATCAATAAAGCCAAAAGTAAGAATCACATGATCATTTCCATAGATGCAGAAAAAGCCTTTGATAAGGTCCAATATTCATTCATGATAAGAACTTTACAGAAAATTGGAATAGATGGTCTTTACCTCAATATAATAAAGGCTGTCTACAACAAACCAACAGCCAGTATCATACTAAATGGCCAAAAATTGAAAGCCTTTACTTAAAATCAGGCACAAGACAAGGATGTCCTTTATCACCTCTCCTATTTAATATAGTACTGGAAGTACTAGCCAGAGCAATTAGGCAAGAGAGAGAAATAAAAGGGTAAAGAAGGAAAAGAAGAAGTTAAATTGTCATTGTTTGCAGATGACATGATACTCTACATAGAAGACCCCCTAAACTCCATTGAAAGACTCTTAGATATAATAAATAAATTCAGTAATGTAGCTGGGTACAAAATCAATACTCAGAAATCTATAGCATTCTTATACACTAACAACAAAATCACAGAGAGAGAAATAAGAGAAGCCACACTCTTCACACTAGCAAGCAAAAATGAAATGTTTAGGAATTACTCTTACAAAAGAAGTGAAAGACCTATACAGGGAAAATTATAATACACTGAAGGAAGAAAGTGAAGATGATCTCAGAAAATGGAAAGATCCCATGTTCATGGATAGGAAGAATAAACATTGTGAAAATGGCCATTCTCCCAAAACTGTTATACAGATTCAATGCAATCCCAATAAAAATACCATCAACATGCCTTATAGATCTAGAGAAATCACTCCTAAGGTTCATCTGGAACCAGAAGAGACCTAGAATATCAAAGGCAATTCTAAGCAACAAAGGCAAGGCAGGAGGCATCACAATCCCTGACTTGAAGTCATAATACAAAGCAACTATAATAAAATCAACATGGTACTGGAATCAAAGCAGAGCAGAGGATTAATGGAATAGATTAGAAGATACAACCACAACTACAAACACACTCAACCACCTTATCTTCGATAAAGGAGCCAAGCAGGTTCACTGGAAAAATGACAGTCTTTTTAATAAGTGTTGGAAAGGTGTTGGAAAAACTGGCTCTCCATTTGCTGAAAACTAAAACTCAACCCAAGCCTATCACCATGTACTAAATTAAAATCTAAATGGATCAAAGATCTGAATATCAAAACAGAAATACTAAATCTATTGGAAGACAAATTAGGTAGAAACCTTGAAGACATAGGGGTAGGTAGAGAATTCATGAACAGGACTCAAACTGCACAGGAAATACTTCCGAGAATCAATAACTGGGACCACCTCTTATTAAAAAGTTTCTGTAAGTAAAAAAAAAAATCTCCAGCATAGTGAAAAGAAAACCCACAAATTGGGAAAAGATCTTAGTGAACTCCCCCTCAGACAAAGGACTTTTGTCTAAAACATATAAAGAATTTTTAAAAAATCAGACTTCAAAATTCAAAGACCCAATCCAAAAATGGGCATCTGACATGAATACACACTTCTCAAAGGAAGAAATACTAATGGCAAATAAATACATGAAAAAATGTTCATCATCATTGGTTATTAGGGAAATGCAAATTAAAACCACACTGAGATTCGATCTCACTCCTGAAAGGATGGCCAGGGTCAAGAAAACCAACAACAACAAGTGCTGGAGAGGCTGTGGGGAAAAAGGAACTCTCCTACACTGTTGGTGGGAGTGTAGACTGGTACAACCTTTGTGGAGGTCAGTCTGGAGATTTCTCAAAAAGCTGGGATTGGAAGTCCCATTTGTTCCCCCTATTCCACTTGTAGGCATCTTCCCAGAAGAACTGAAAGCATCATACCACAGTGATATACGCACACCTATGTTTATAGCAGCACAATTTGTAATTGCCAGATCTTGGAAACAACCCAAATGTCCATCAACTGAGGAATGGATAAAAAAGCTGTGGTATTTCTATACAATGGAGTATACTACTCAGCTATAAAGAAGGATCACATTGAGCTTATGCAACCGATGAAGTATTTGGAACAAAACTATTGCTCAGGATTACAATGTGTACATGGACCTCATTAGTTCCCGAATCTCAACTCTGGATAGAACGATCCTCTCTTGAGCACATCTGAGCTACTTTCAAATAAATACCTTTTGATGTAAAAAAAAAAAAAAAAGGGCTGTTAACAAAGAATAGACATGTCTCAGAAGTGAAAGTGACCAATAAATAACATGATAGAATGTTCAACCCTCTGGCCATTAGTGCAAACGAAAACACTGAAATTCTACCTTATTGAAGGAAGAAAGATCACCATCAAGAAATTAAATACAGTAATAACAAATGCTATCGAGGCTTCAGGGAAAAAGAAATTCTTTCACATTGTTGAAGGGAATGTAAACAATACAAGCAATTTTAAAAAGAAAACTTTCTATTTTTAATAATGTGCTTTTGAAAAAAATGAAATTTTTTGCCTCAAAACACAAATTTTCAGTGTTTCAATGTCCTTGCTTCACTTAAAATTCTGATAATGCTCATGAAAAGAATGACCTCATTAGATTTTAAATAATGTCATACTTTTTAAATCTCCAGATGGACTTATCAGATGATATTACATAGGCCAAAAAAGATAAAAAATAACTGACGCATATGTTAAGTAAGAGACTAATATCAATACCTTCCTATGTATTGTAGGACCATATCACACATTACTCTTATAGTCCTCTTGTATGATTTAGAGTGAAAATTTGCTTTATTACACTTGTGCCATTTCTGTTGATGTGATTCAGATATTTACTTAAGTTCTTGGAGAATTATTATTGTCATGGCATTAGTCAAATTGACCTAATTGAAAACCCAAAGTATTTTGAAATCAAGTTATATATCCTTCCCATTTTTTTTGCTAACTCTAAGAAAATTCATGTGAATTCTTTTTGATGTCTTTATAGTGGCAATATTGAACAACCTCAGACCATAGTGTGTTTAAATATAAGATACAATAAATATGAAATATTCATTGTGTGCTTCAACCATTTTGAAAAATTTCTGAATCACTAAAATATTTATCATTTCTTCATGCACAAGTCATTACTGGCAAACGCAGTAGTAGTTCATCATACTAGCTTTAAGTGTAAATAAAATTCAATCTACCAAAAAAAGTAAAAAGTCAATTTTACAATTAGTATTTTAGTGTATATTATGCAAACTTTCTCAAATTTTTTATTGAATTCTTGATTATTTGTTATTTACTCACGTGGTTTTATAAATTTAATGATTGAAAATTAGAAATGATTATCCATTAATATTAACTTTGCTTGATATGATTTATTTAGAAAATGGATAATCTGAAATAGAATTTCCTGGTATCTCTGACAGATGAGTGAATGAATTCCTAAGTTTTCAACCTTTCTAGACACTTTGTGTAAACCATTAATTAACCTTAATGAAATAATAGCAGATCAAATTCATTGATGGTTCCAAAGTCAATGTGGAAATCTAAAATAATTTTACACTATGCCATTTACCCTGGCATTCTTTTCATATCATGAAGTCAAGGAGTGATTCGTTTGTTCCACCCAGGTGTGGGATATACTTTGTGTCAGAGGGTATTCAAAGTACTTTAGCAACTAACTCACGTAAGCCTCAGAACAATTAAATGTATATGTGTGCCATTTGTATTTCCACATTAAAGTTGAAGAAACTAAGTCAGAATTGAAATAAACATTCCATGATAACACAAACAGTAAGTTGTAAACTCCAGTTTGCAATGCAGACAGACTCTCATCACAGTGTGCTTATCTGTCTCTAAAGTTAAGAAGAATCTTATGAAGTGATAATGAAGAAATTGTTTGTATACATGTACAGGGCTCCATTGTCTCATGACTTTAGTTGCATTATTACTATCAATAGCTATCAATTTCAATTACTATCAATAGGTTGACATAGCCAGGAAATTCTAGATGTATATTTTTATCATCCTTTTTGCTGACAATAATTGATGATATACAATAAACAGCCAAATATATGTATGGTGAAAACATTTCTAGTAGATTACTTAAATAATTTTGAGTTATTTTATGAAATAAAACATTAGAACAGGCAAATTTTGCAGTAGCTGAATTACTTTTGATGGTGGTGAATTTTATTTTTTCAAAGAATGGAGAAGGACAGAACTAGAAATTGAAAGCTATAATTAATTCCCTGAACACTTCATTTATTACAAAACCCATACATGGCCACCACATTTTGAATATTTATAGCTACTGAATTGCTGCTTCCTCAAATGTATTAATAGCTCATTAATATTTACTGAGCATACTCACATTGTTTACAGGGCACTTTCCACTATGATTCTGGAAAAATGTTAGATAAAGGTTTTAATGTGACACATTTGTATACTTCATTACTTAATATTCATGTTACAAGGACAGTAATAGGGATCTAAGCTTTGGATTCATAATTAGTTTTAGCAGCTGCCTCTGCTTTGATATACACAGATGTGTGAACCAAGGCAGTGGGTGACAAAATGTTAAAGTAGTCTTAATTATTAGAACAATTTTGCTTAATTGTTGCTTGCTTGTGCAATAAGGTTATGTAAATGCCATTAAATGTATTGTTGTGATTTATATTTTCTTTTAATGGTTTTTGTTTTCTTCTGTTCCAGACCGGTATATTATAGTTGGCAGCCACCATTATGCTTCATACAGTTACAATGGGCAAGCATGGGCCAGCAGTACAGCCATAATCACAGCTTTTATCCGAGCCTTGATGTTAAGAGTGAAGAGGGGATGGAGGCCAGACCGCACCATAGTTTTCTGCTCATGGGGAGGAACAACTCTGGGCAATATTGGCTCATACGAATGGGGAGAGGTAAAATAAATGTTAACCACAAGGCCTTTTATTTTTTTTCCTTTTCTTTTGCACTATGTAGACAGTGTAAAAATTCTGAACCAAAGACATTGATGTTTCTTTCCACCAAGTCTATAGTATCTGTTACTTTGTTAAGATCACTTATAAAAATGAGGTAGGAGCAGGCTACACCAGGTCACGTGAATGGTGTTTAATCTGCAGCTATCCTTATTCCTGTTGCCGTAGGATCTGCAAACCCTGATAACCAATAAAGTGCTTAATTAATTTGACAGCCATAGGGAAAGAAAGGATTGCTCTATGAAAATCATTGCATTAAAAAAAAACTTATTTAGATTATCTGGAATTAGTAAACAACCTTCTATTATCTTAATCGTTATATATTTCCTTTGCAATATGGAGATTAGATTCAGATAGGGATCACCTGCTTTTCTCTCTTTCTTCTTTCCTCTGCACCCCCCCCCGTCTTCTTGCCTCTCTGCCTAGTCCCTGCTTACCTGATTACCAAAGGAAGCATTAATGACATAGATCTTGCAGTGAAATAGAGGTTGTACATTTAGAACACAACTGAAATATGTAAGTTTTAAATGTGTCTGATATGTCTGTAAACTAGAGAGATCATATTTTAATGTAATAAAACTACTAGAAAGTAGGTTGATGCTGCAGTAACAATAGTGGAAATATATTAAAACGCCTAGATACTGACTTTTTAATAACAAGAAAATTTAATGGTTATATGTGGACCAAATAAATCTACTGAATTGAAACTAGGAAACCATTTGATTTCTTTCTTTGTTTAGCATTTCAGCTTTGAGTAGAAAAAGTGCTATCTAGTAGAAAATCCTGTTATTCTTTTACTTTAGCACTTAAAAAACATGTTTGTTGCATATCTCTTAAAGAAAGTAACAGAAATGAGGGAAAGAAAATAATGTTTTTACTGTAGTTTGAGGGAAGGAACACATTGTAATGATGAGAATAATGTTGCAGTGTATAGTTCAACAAGATACAAAACTACAAATTGAAATTCTTTTCTAATGTGCAAATCAGTGATATAAATGTTCCATATTTGAAAGAATTATTTCAAATGAAATTTCATTGCTTTATGAACCTTTCTAAATTGGCAAAATTTTAGGTAAGTTGGAAATATACCAGCTCAGCTATCCTCTCCAACTTTTATTCCAGATTACTTACTTTTAAAATTAAAGAAGAAAGTTATGAGCAATTTGAGAAATCTTTTGTGATTTGAACAGTTTTAAATAATTCAGAAACAATAGAAGCATTGCAGTTTTCTTGCAATTAAGAATATCTTGAGGTTTTTCAAGCTCCAAAGTTTTCACTAATCTTCTATATAACTAATATCTTTCACAACTGATGTTAATTTTAAGTTGATATGCATATTTCTAAATTATATTTAATAAGCTTGTTTAGCATTATTATTTTCTAACAGTGTGAGCTCTAATAAGGAAAGAATTATATTTCAGACAAGTCCTTGAATTTATTTGTGCAGTAAGCTTGACAATTATAAATTGAACCCATGTGAACGTGCACATATGCAAGCAATTGTTTTTTTCAATTGTGTACATAATAAGATATAAAATTCCTTTTTAAAATTTTTTGGTACTAGAGATTGAACTCAGTTACTTTACCACTGAAATATATCTCTAGTCTCTTTCTTTTCTTTTTTGTAAAAATTATTTTGATAAAGCGTCCCTCTAATGTGTGCAGGCTGAGCACCAGCTGGAGATCCTTTTGCCTCAGCCTCTGCAGTAGCTAGGATTACAGCTTTGTGCCATCATGCCCAGTTTATAAAGTCATTGTTAAGTTTTAGTGAATCCTTGTGCTTTTTTGCTTATGTTATATTTTCTCAATCATTACACACGAAATATAGGGCTATTATAGTGTGGAGGTCCACAGGGAGAAAAATGTTAGAAATTTTTTTTTCTGTATAAAAGTGTATGATTGCCATTGCTGATTTCCTATCATCATGTTGTGAAATCCAGTAATTCTCTGACACTTTATTTAAATTGGTTTTAGTCTGTTTGTATTGTTTAATTTCAATATATATGAGGGTATGGACAGCTATTTTGAAGAGAACAAGAAACATTATGGTAGCCATTGTTGATTTTCCTATTGTCTGGTTTTGAAGACCTGTAATGCCTTCATTCTTCTGCTTTGATCAGTTTTATACTATTTTTTTTGCTTGAATTCATTGTATGTGAAGATATGGACAGCTATTTTGAAAAAAAACAAGAGAATTTATGTTAGCAAAAAAATAGTGTATGAACTACTATTGTCTTTGAATGCTTACATACATGAAAAACTTTTGAATATTTGGTAACTGATCATACACTTAGCCACCTTTTGGGTTTTTATATGACTGGTGACAAAAGTAAATAAATTATGAAAACAGTGAATAATATACATATTTCATTATTGGTTGATAAAGTATATTTTCATAATTTACTGTATATCAGGAAACTTCTTCAGGACAGCTTATAAAGTGATTTTGTAATTGTCCAGTTGAAGGAAAAAACCTAGAGAACTATTACTTGGACCATTCTAGTTAGTCTTATCCAATCCTTTCCTTTAGAGAATGAAACATTTTCTTTATGTGGAGACCAATTTAAGCTCTAAACATGTTCCCTGCTGAAGGGAGGGAGGAAAGTCCTATTGACATGATATTTACCCTGATTAGTTTTGCTGACATAAAAACCCCTGGAAACCCAGTATTGTAGGTAAGAGGATTATGCAATGCTGGTCAATAAACTTAAAAAAGGAATTTATAGTGATAGAATTATTAGGGAATTGACTCAGTACTACACTTGATCCTTGAGGAAAATCTTAACATTTTATTACATGTTTTTTTGTCAAAGTACTGTTTCATCTTTGAAGAATCTTTACTTTTTACAGGCTGTCTGGGAAATTATAAAGATTTTAGAATAAAATAAATCAAGGTTCAGATCCTTTCTACCATAAAATGTGATCTTAGCTGAGATTAGCTTCTCTAATAGCGGATTCCTCAAACAACAATGTTATCAGGAGATTTATGTGTGCTAGCATAATTTGTCTATAGAGTTGTGTAAATAGAAACCTTTTTATTGAATTTAAGTAGCAATAAATAATTTTGAATTACATCATGGCTTAACTGATAAAATTTAAATATATTTTATATTCATTTAAAGTAATCATTAGTTTCAAATAATTGTCTTTTAATCTCTATTAACAGGTATAGGCTGAATTTTAATGTAAAACTGAAATAAATTGATTTGTTTACTACATCTGTAAATCCATATAATCTTTAACATCACAGTGCTAGAATAAGAAAGATACTCTCTCAAGACATGGCACAAGTTTTAGGATTATATAGAACTTCCACAAAATAATACTTATTAAATATCCGTGTAAAGAATACAGGAAAATAATACAATAATACTCAGTGTACCTTCTGATAGGATCAGTGATCTTTGATTTTTCAGCTAGTGTCAACAGACAGTGGAAATCTACTTACCAAATCTTTTCATGTCATTAATACGCATGAAATGCATTGAGGGTTTTTTTTTTTTTAATTTTGTGGTTACTATTATAGAGCCCAGTGCCCGATGCATGATGGGCCAGTATTATACTGTTGAGCTCAAACTCTAGATTGCATCAAAATTCCTTTAAGGAAACAGCATTTGTAGGGCCACAAATATATTTTGCTTGATTTATTTCAGAATAATGAGTTACTTTTCTGCAAAAATAATTCATTGCTTGAAAGAAAAAGACTCATTTTATGAATCACTGACGTATTTTCATCCATGTCTGTTCCCTAATTCAATAACTAGTTTCACTGAAGCAAACATCCATTCTGGCTTCTGTACTTGAATCCTATACTGTGTTAATGTACAGGGACATTTTCTTTTTAAAATTTGACTTTTGTCACAAATATGCTTTAAAATATTTTGGTTTTCATTTTTTACATCTTACTCCTCAACATCCTCATTTAAAAGCCTCTTTTAATCCTGGGTTACTCTAGTATATACTTGCCTCTTTTAAAAAAAGCTCATTCACTTCTTTCATGCCTATATCTTGTAATCTGAACAAGTGCTTTGAAAATGACAACATTAAATATATTAACCGGTGTCGACCTCCTGTTATTTTTTTTTAAATTCTGTATCATTGTTTTTATTCTTACACAATGAAATCATTTTTAATACTAAGTGTTTTATTACTCAGCATATAACTAACAAAACAGAATTTATTAATTTTGTTTATGCTAAAGATGGATCTCTTATTATTTTTTTGGATTTCAGGATTTCAAGAAGATTCTGCAAAAAAATGTTGTTGCTTATGTTAGTCTCCACAGTCCCGTGAGGGGCAACTCAAGCCTACACCCTGTGGCATCGCCGTCTCTTCAGCAACTGGTAGTAGAGGTAAGATAAATGGGTTTTGGTGGAAAGTGATTATACTTTTGCTCATGACTTTGTATTTCTTTATATTTTCATTTCTTTTAGAGCAAACATAAATTAATCAACAAGTGTTTAAGGAATTGTCTCTTCCTTTTTTTAATGTATTCCTTAAATTAATTTGTTATGTTTTGGAATTCTCTACCTGCTATCTTATATGGTTATAGTCTTCAAAAGTTCTGAATTATATTACATAAATGCAAGTAAAAGTGCAATTTTAAAAATTTGACTCTGCCTCTCAACTACATTCTGCAATTATGATGTTTTGTGGTTAGTTGATTCCTAACATATTTCTTCCCCTGATATATGTCTTGAGTAAATTTTTTACCTAGTCTATCATTTCAACTCCATTTGAAGTCCCAAAGGGCAAGAGTACAGGTTCAAGTAATTTTAATGTATCTTGAAAATATCACATACAGAAGTATTTAGGAAAGAAAAAAAAACATGATTTTTTTCAATAAGTAACTTGAAAAATATTTTTAATTTTTGATGTTTTACAAGAGTTGTTTTAATCACATTTCACCTATTTTAAAGATTTTAGCAAAACATTGTCTTGTTTATTAGTAGAGTTTATACTTTTATTTCTACATACATATTATGAATTTTACTACAAGCAGAGTGCTATTTCTCACCATGAGAATGGTCCTTTCACCTCTTGGGGGATAGTTTCCACCAGCTCCACTCTCTGTCAGTGTATGTTGATGACTTTTAGATGCTCCCGGTGTCCAGTGAGTTTCACTGAAACTGAGCTAAGGAGAGATGAGAAATAGAGCTTTGATCTAGCCATAGGGCTTGATTGAAATGTAATACCAAGTAACATTTTATGACTTAGGAAGTATTTTCTAGCTTAATAGTTTCATTGCTGTTTCCATATGTAATACAATAAAAAAGACATTATGAAACATAAAATGGATAAATCTGTGCATTTAAGATAATCCCAATATATGTACCTTAAATTTTATCTGGATCTATAAATTAGATCTGTAAATTATCTGGATCTGTGTACTGCTTTAAATTTTCTCTGTTTTACCTGGCCAAAAAAAAATCTCAAAACACAAAATCAGCTATATTATATCTCCCCTGAAGTGTTGAGATATTTCTAAATATGTGGATGATCAGGAAGAAGAGCCCAAGTGTCTAGAAACTGAGGAGGGTTGACTTAAGAATGTATTATCTTTTTCCAGTGTATATTTTTATTTTGAGGATATTGCTAGATGTAGAATTATTGAAATTTATGATTGAATATAAATAGAAATCTATTGTTTTTTTGGACAGTGTCTTACTATCTAACTATGTAGTTCATGTTGACCTTAAACTCACTATGTACTACAGACTGGCCTGAAACCCACAGTGATCCTCCTGCCTCAGCCCCCGGTGCTGGGTTCAGTCATGTGCCACCATATTAGGCTAGCAAACTATTAAAGACTGCCAGTTCTATACAATATCATTTTGAGAACATGGTATTTAAAATAATTCTGTATATCTTCTATCACTCCACACCTAGTAACACATAACTATAATATTCTTTAGTATATAAATTTACTTGTGTAGCTACAAATTGTTTAGTGCAAGGCCATAGGTTCATCCTCAGAACTACAAACCACATTATGTGAGAACGCAACATTATTTCTCCATAATAAATGTTGGCGTGAAAAAAAAGTACCTTCGCGTTTGTTTGAGAAATGAGCTTTACTATTCCATAGATGGAAATGTTTACCCACTAACCTTAAATAAAAATGAAACAAAATCTGTACTGAAGGAAGATGCCTTTCAGTTGAGTTGCACGTGTATGTACATTTATTCCATAGAATGACTTAGAAAGGAAAAACTATTAGAAGTTCAGAAAAATCATATTGTTATGTACTTTCTACAGATGAAATTTACATGCTTGTACATATTAAATTTTATGGAAAAATGTGAATGTTGATGAAAGCTATATGCTCATTTAAAATTTAACATTATGTAGTGTTTTCTTTAAAATATATCAATATCTGAAAATATAAAAAAGATAAGTGAAGTAAACAAAACCTTTCTGTAACATATATTTTAATTAGCATTAATAATATTTAAAATATTTCTTTCAAATATGAATTTAAACTGTTAACATTAGAACATATATACCTTCACATAAGTTAACAATGATATTTATCAGTTTAAGAATGATATTTAAGAGTTTATTTAGATCTGTGAGCATATAGAGATTACATGTGTCATATCATGCAATATAAAACAATTTAAAAATGATTTTTCTATATAAAACAAGAATTTCTTTAAAGCAGATTGACTGAATTATGGGTCTCACAAAGTCATATGGAATATATGATACTCTGTATTAAAAAATACAGATTCCAAAAGATCTTGTGATGTTCATGTGACACATAAATATATGTGATGCAATCATTAAACTATTAGTATCTAATGCTGTGTTTTATTTTAAAAACCTAGGCTAATATAGGATATTTTAATATGTTACAATCAATGTGAAAGATAACTGTGAACTATTCTTCTGAGTTCAAGGATAGTTTTAAAGGAATTATTAGTACATTATTCAAGGGAAGCAAGATGGCGGCCCCACTATATTAGTTCCATGGGACCAACTGGTGTGGTGTGCTGATTCTTTATGTCGGAATGACTGGAAGTGTTGAGGCACTATTTGTATGTAGTAGAGCCCCATTTTTAAACATACAGGCTGATGAAATTTGACAAGTGTATGCAGTCACGTAAAGAGATTCTCAATCAAGATATGTGACATTTCCATCATGTCAAATGTTTCATAGTTTCCTTCCTTGGAATTCAATAGTGGCAACCACTGGTCTGAATTGTACTCCTAAAGTTTTACCTTCTACAATGTTGGTAAGAAAAGAAATCCAAGCTGTGTAACCTCTGTGTACCCTATGTAATAATACTTAAGATTCTCCCAGTAGTTCCACAACATTGTCTAGATCACGGAGAAGATAAAATAGACAGGGATGAGTGCAACAGCTTTCTAGTTCTACTTTGTTAGTAAATCTTTGATTTTGAAGTAAAGAGAATTGAAACAATTGAAATTGAGAAAAAAGTACCTTGAAGGCAGTACACCAAATTTGAACACTTATCACTGAACAAAGAGAATAAAATATTTTTGAAAATCCAAAACTTTTTCTAACTTGCTTCTAATAGCAATATGCACATTACATATAGCAAGCAAATATGTCCATTGTATAAAAATAAGTTTTGTTTAAAATCCAACAAAATGTTAAAAAAATGGTTTTTTAATTAAATGATAAAAATCTCACTTAGATGATATTATAGGGAATTCAGGAGAGAATTTCCTAATTTTCTTTCTATGAATGGTGATCATTTGGATTTCGATATTTGTCCTTAGCTTTCAGCTGTAGTAGATTTAACTAGTGTGTATATTTCTATGTTTTAGTTGTTAGAGCAATGATTTATCTTGAGTGTTTTTCAAGAAATTGGATTGCTTTTTCATGCTGCAGACACCTTTAACTTTGGTAGATACAGTCGAAGGAAAATTTTAGAGTTGTTGTACAAGTTGTGTTCACTCCCACTAGCAGTACCGTGGGTATTTTATGTACTCCTTGTCACCATCAGACCTGTCATGGTAGCATCTTTTGAAGCTCTAACTTGAATTTCAACAATGATTAATATTATTGAGCCCCTTCTCACATACTCAAGTGCTCATTAACCATTTGACATCTCTCCTCACATAGGACTTGTGTAAGCTCAACTTTTTTTTAAGAGGTGTTTGCATTTTCGCTATCAATGTTTGAAGCTTTAAAAATACATTCAATTTAATTATTTTTGTCAGTTATTTTCCTAGTCTGTATTTTCCTAGCCCAAATTTTCACTCTTGTAATGGTGGCAACACACATTAGTAACTATTTTATGGAAATCTTTTTAAAATATATTTATTATTCCATCACTATATTACAGAAAGTAGTCAATTTAGTTTAACTTGTTATTACTAAAAGAAATATTTTCTATTTTCCTCATTCACAAATATATAAAAATACTATATATAAAATTTTCCTTTACTCTATTAGGGATTCTAGGATGTCTGTAGAGATAAGTAGAGACCCAGTTCCTTTGAATGTATAGGGAATAAGAAATCTTCTACAACGTACAGTTTCTTAAGGGAAAGGAACTATCTCTTAAAAATAAATTTCCTCTGAGTCCTTAAAATGTACAATAAAAATACACAGTTCATTGACTTCAGTTAATGAAATACAACTTCCTTCATGCAAAATAACTTTTCAATTAAAGATTAAGTTTGCTCCAATAATAGTAGCTCCAAACATTAGGAAGTAACACAAACACAAATGTGCCTTTCCGCATCGCTGCTTCATTTTTAGTTTTTAAGATCACCCTTCATAGATCATAGAAAGTACTGATTTTGCCTTTAGAAAAACGGAATTTGATCATTCATATATTAGTGCTTTATAAGTCTCAAGTAAATAGTGATGAAATTTCTAAGAGATTATTTGGGGAGAGCCTGCAGCATTTATACATATGAAAGTAGTCAATCTAGCCATATTCTACTAACATTGGATTTAAGCACCTGCCTGAAGCTGGTAAATCTCATGAAAGACAAACAACTACATCAATACTGTATAAGTATGCAGTGGATAGACAGTATTAAAATTAGCGTTTAAAAATTGTGAAGTATATATTCAAGTTTTGTAGGATTTTTAAATTTCATAATCAGTTTTTACATATCAGTGCTATCAGAAAATAGAAAAGATGTATTTCAGGTCATCTAATTCCTTTAGAATGCTAAGCTCAGAACTGGCCTAAAATAGCACTTCTGGATACTCCTGATCTGCTGCAGAGCTCATTTAAGTGACAGATCTTCACAGAGAAGCCAAACTGTGCGCAACACTGCTTTAATTGTTGTAGGACCCATGATGAGAAACTGAACTCTCTATTGACTGGAGTTTATAATTTTGCTATGAATTTAGCATATATAT